AGCAAGACAACTGAGAAGTAGAGTGTCAAAGGAAACGCCGTCAGGTAGTAACAGCCACGGTTCTTATCTGCTGCACACCACCTGCTATGGACAAGCAGCGCCCTCTCGATCCAACCTGCCCGCACAGGGCTCTTAGTAATTCTAGTATACATAGGCTTTCAGCGTATATCGTAGTACGATTCTACAGGGAGCATAAGAACTTCTTGCGAGTCTCTGGTCAAGGGCGCAGGCCCCTCTGCTTGCCCGAGGTCTCACATCGCATTCTGAATCTCGACGATGGATTTAGGTTGCAACAGCAACCAGAGTCAATTAAAGCGGATCTCGAGGTCGCAAAGCGAATAAACGACTGATCCCACCAACTAAACGGTTCTTTGCACATCGCAGAAGCTGAAGCAGGAGCACCTTATTGGCACCGGGCCGTTACTGACACGTACTGTGGGGAGGTGATCGTAGAAAGTGTGCTCAGTGCTCAAACACTTAGATGTCAAAGCTTGTGTTCCTGACTGAGCACCTACTCATGACAGCACATGGTCTTGAGATTGCTGGTCATTCCGCTATCAGCACTGCTATCGCTGCTGGCAGTGTCACACGCATGGGCAAATGGCTTTCTGCTGCCAACGCTTGCTGATGCGATCGCAAGTACGCCAATAGATCTGCTGGTGGAATTGTAGCTGTATTTTTGTTTTTCGATTTAGTTGAGAAAGCACCCTCGCAGGTGATCAATATGCACAACGATTAATACGGCTTCATCACGAACGCCACCCCATGGGCAACTGTTGTTCGAACAACAACCAGCGCCAGCGCCAGCACCAGCACAAGCAGCAGCAGCAGCAGCAGCAGCAACTGCAAGAGCAAAAGCACCAGCACTAGCAACACCACCACACCCACCACTACCTACCCCTACCGCTACCACTGCCTCTGCCACTGTCACGGCCACTCCCACTCCACTACCACCACAACTTAGGCTGCCACTCCCACTAACACTATCACTACCCCTACCTCTACCATGCTAGATATGCTTATTAATAAAACAAGCAACCACTCCTCCTCCTCCTCCTCCCTGATGCCAGTCCTGTTACTCACAAAGCTACGTTTGCTGCTGCTCTTCATGCTACCATTCAGCCCACGCAACTATTTCACAAGCGTGATCTTCACAACCAACCGTTACCGCTGCCACTGCCTCTCCTTTCAGCCCGTACCGCCGTGGTGACAGTCTCTTTCCCACATGAAGGCTCGTGCTTAATGCCGGCTTGCCGTATGGAAGAGGTTCTTGCTCGCTCCGGCACCAATACGCATTCAATCACTTGCTTCAGGAGAACAAGGAAGTCAGAGCTGGGTGCTGCTCTACTACCCTAGAAATGCTTCCCTCGCCTGCATTGACAAAGTTTCTCTTGGCCTCGGGGTCTCATATGCACATCATATCGCAAAGGGCTTGGGTTTGCACATGTCCCGTTTCGCAGCGCAGCAGTTTGGGGATTCAAAAAGTGCATCGGGTCCAAGCTGTAGCAGAAGGGCAATACTCAGCCGCACTGAACAGAAGAAACGGTAGAAAGACTCTCAAGATAGAAGCCTAAGCGTAGGATTCCGTGGTGTTCCCATCATACTATATCTCCGGGCTCCGATCATAGTTCTTGCTACCCGACTACCAACAACTGTTTAAACCTTTCCTTGAGGGCTCTGCCGGAGCGAGCTTCGGGGCAAGGGGCACTCAAAGCGAGTGGCTATGATACTCGGCGATACTCGGCCAATCTCGGCTTCCTAGCTCTGGCTCCCTATTTGTATACCCTCACATGACTTCTTATGATTTATGGCAAATAATAAGAATAAGAATAAGAATAGCAATACTAGTATTAATAATAACAATAGTCTTGACTTAAAATTATGATAAACATTCATCAGCCCAAAACCTCACACTTCCGAAGCCTAAGGAGCCTTTGTTGAGGGGGCAATGGCTTTTGGGAAGAACGGTATGGGCTGACAAACAACACCATGCCATCGTCTTTCCTACGTCAAGTGTCTCTTCTCAACCATGCGCCTGTCAAAATACATGTGGTTTCTTCCACGCCTCGTATACTGTGCCTTTTTGCAACTACACTCATGCTGATGGCGATTCGTCTGGTGATGCTCATACTGAAGACATTGTTCATTCTACTTGCAGGCACTCGTGCCTACTTCAAGCAAGAACTGTTTTTTTCTGAACCTTTGCTACACAGCTAACAGCTAACTCTTGATTTTTGTTTAAAGCCTAAGCCCTGCAAGCGTGGCTGCGGTAGAAGACGAGCCGATATGCAGTACACAGCCCTCATAAACATAGATAATTACGTAGATCGTGGTCATGCGAAGTGGGTTTCCATCTTAGCTCAAGTGTATGGATTATGCTACGAATGGCAACGAGCATCCCCAGATCTTACAACAGCAGGGGCCTTGCGCCCGAACGTACTCAAATGGGGTCGCCCCACTCGTCGTAGCGGACTTCTGTCTTAACCTCCGGTCTCAAGAAGATTAAGATTCGGATGGGGGCCAGGGAAAGCAAGTTGCAGATTTCAAACCAAGCCCAACTCGTACCGTGTCATGCGACTGCACCAAACTCAGTGGCCCAAACAGACATCCGCAGGCTGTCGACCCTGAACCTCATGACACAAGCCCCTGCCTCTTCCTCCTGCTGGACGCCTCGCAGCACTTGGAAGAAAGGCTTGAAGCAAAGTCTACAGGCAAGCAAGGTTCCGGCTGGAAATGTCCAGGCTGTTGTTTACAGATCGTCGAATCGTGCTCTGCTGGGGGCGCTAGCTCTCTTTGGATCTCTTTAGCTTAGGGGCTTGAATTTTCAGCAGCATGCAGAGGTGTAGGTTGTCGGATCTATGGTGCTGAGAACTCTTGTTAAGGGTTTAGGGTGAAGAAGTCTTGGGTGGGGCCACACAACTTCCATCGTCCTCGGTCTTCTGCGAAGGCCAAGCGCATGCGAGGGTTTGGCGTTGAAATCTGGAGCTTACGCTTGCAGTGAAGTTTGCCAGAGATGTTGTGTCTTCTGACATTTGTGTGTTTTCCAAGTCGTTCAGAACGGTGTAGTAGCAGTGTCGTCGAGCACGTGCTGCAAGTGACAACACCCTACAAATGCCTAAAAAAATAGATAATGTTCATGTATTCCCAAGCAGTATGGCAACGATATGGAGACACACTATCGGGAAAGTGGTGGGAACTGCTGCTGGTGCTGCTGCTACTACTGCTGCTACTGCTACCGCTATACCACTACTCCTCCTCCTCCTGCTGCTCCTGCTACTACTATCACCACTACCACTGCCACTGCCGCTCCCAGTGCCACTGCCACTGCCACTTACGACTACCACTGCTACTTCCTCCTCCTACTACGACTAATACTAATTTTTGCGAGGGCCATGCGCGCTGTCTTGCGCCCTTTGGCGCCCTCTCTGGGGATTGTCGCAGAGTTCGGCCCAGCTCTACAAACTTGAAGACTAATCTAATACTAATACTAATACTAATACGAGTACGAATACTAGTAGTAGTAGTAGTAGTAGCAGCAGCAGCAGCAGTAGTAGTAGTAGTACTACTACTACTACTACTACTGCTAATACTACTGCTCCTACTACTACGGCGACGACCACAACAACAACTACTACTACGACGACGACTACTACTGCTGCTGCTGCTGCTGCTGCTACTTGTTCGGGATCCTGTGCTTTTGCAGGGGCGCTCCACTTTTCCCGGGCCTAGCCGCTGCCAGAGGAGCTCCTCGCGCTCCTTGTGCTCTTCCAAGGCAACCTCGAAACAATGAGGAATAAACCGCAGTGGAAGTAGTCGTCGCGGTCGTCGTAGTAGTAGTCGTCGTTGTCCCTCTAGTAAACTAGTACTTACTAGTACTAGTATTACTGGAACTAGAAATGGCGTAATAGTCCGTCGTAGCTCTACGACGTAGCAGTACGTTGCAGTTCTATGTCGTAGTACTACGTCGTAGAAGTGCATCGAAGTAGCTTTGTCACCCACCTGACACGCAGTCGCAGCAGCAGCAGCAGCAGCAGCAGCGGCAGCGGCAGTAGTAGCAACACCGAGAGCATCAACAACGGCAATAGTTAGTACGTTTTCATTTCCGCGACCATCACTAACATCAAGATCTGACAATAAATTACTAACTGTTGTAATCCTTCAGGTCCTTATTGTGATTATGGTTATGGTCACCAGATGATCGCAGCTACCATCATCCACACCAACACAGTCCTCGTCGCCATCACCATCGGCAGCATTGCAACGACGAAGACTCTCCGTCATGGGGCAATCACGGTGACCCTCCCCGTTTCTGGTTGCTATCAATGGCAAAAGAACAATAACGGGCGTAGGTTCCTGAAAAACAGAAGGGCAGCTAGATGACCTCATAAGCCATGTGGGTTGAGAGCGTTTAGATCTTTGGACAAGCGTGGTCTTTTGGGGACACGTTCCCGTCTCGCGAGACTTGGACAGTTCCTTTTCCACGGGGGGTAACGAGGAGAACTCTTGAGCAGTTTCGACTCACACACTCGCACGCGCACAAAGCAGGCATGGCAGGTTCGGTGCGAGTTTGAGGGTTTAGAGAATTCCTACATGAAGTTACAGGCTAAACAAATTTGAGCTTGCGGGGTCAAGGGGCCCAACAACTCCTTCGCCCTTTGGATGGCCCAGTCTCGGTTTACAATGGGAGCCTAGAACCGGTGCATCATGCAGAACGGCAATTTGGAGAGAGCAACTGACCCCAAAAGCCCCGAAACCGAAGACCCACAACATGCAGACCTGGACACGAACGCTAAGCATTTGTGTCAGCAGGTAGCGCGTCAGCAGGTAGCGTGCCAGCAGCAATCCGGACTTTGTACAAGGCCCTGACGGACGGCCAAGCACAACAAGGTCTATAAACGCGGTGTCCTCAGTGACACCTTCGATCATTCTGAAGTCACTCATGCTTAGGCTCTCGGGTACCCGTCGTAGTCTTGCGACTGGCGGTGTGAAACATCGCCGGCCTACTTCAGACGGGCCGCGGAATCGGACTTCACCACATGAGCCATTGCTGTCGTCCTGAGCATGCGGATAAGAAGGTCTACAACGTCGAGCCAACGGCCAAGCGCAATTTCCTTCGCCACCTTCTTTTCGAAGCTAAAGATCTTTCCCACATGCTCCTGCAGAACAACGCGAGCGTTGCGCGACAAAGGACAGTGTCCCACATCCATGAACCGTGCCGCGATCGTTGCCGAAGCCGACAGCCAAGACTTTTGCTGGGTGTCGGTGACCATGCAGTCCACGACTGCAGTCATCCCCTCTGGGTGGACGAACTCCACTCTGAAAGGAGCCGGCCTGCTTGGCGGCCCCTTCCCTATCAGGGAAAGCTTGCCATCCTCCTCACTGAGACACAGCCACTTTCGAGCAGTGGAGGTCTGCGCCAGCTGGTATTGTACCGGCGCATAGTCTTCACCCGGCTTCATCAGGGCACACGCTGGTATTCGCACAGAATCCCCGTTTTCTTGGATGGCAAACATAGGTAGGTCCTTCAGTACCGATCGGACCGACTCCTCCAAGACTTTGCAAAGATTCATCGCCGCATTTGTGTGCGTCTGGTCCGCATGGCTCGTTTGGCTTGTCTCAAAGAAGCAGCACTTCGTAACCTGCCCCCTTCTCCTCACGAACCGCGTCTGCGCGCTCAGCATGTCAATGGCCATCGTCGCATCGGCGGCGCGTCTCGGTTCCTCGAGCCAGTTCTTGCCTGAGTTGTAGTTTTGGGGGGCCCCTTTTAGAGTGTATTTGTGAATATGTGCCTCTTTAGGGACCAGAAGGGAAACTTTCAATCCTTCCCAAAGTGCCACCTAGCTGCTAGTTTCCCAGGACTTCTGAGCCCTTTGATCGTCCATGCAATCGCACGTGGCACTGCAGAGACCGGGCGGATCTGCGCAGCCGTAGCCGGGCGGATAGTCCTCGGCTCTCCTGGTGAGAGTTAGGATTAGGGCGACCCTTTGGGGATAGAGACCCTCTCAATAAGGTCCCTTTTTAAGAGAGTTAGAAGTAGGGTTCCGAAGGGTCCCCTTTAAGTGGTCTCCCTGGTACTACCTAGCACTCCTTGGCCAGCCACTGCGAACATCCGGATCTTTGTTGCTTTGCGGCGGCTCGAAGTCATGTCCCCGCTTCAGGCGAAACATGTCTTGGATGAGCGGGGTGCCGTTGCGCCGATATCTGCTCATTTTCGGCGGTGGAGCTTCTGGCTTTTCGACCTCCACAGGGCTTCCTCCATCCAAGGTCATGGATGAGCCTTCGACGCGGGGGCGCTTCGACTTCACGGCACTCTCCGCAAGTTCCTTGTCCTTCTCGGCTTTCTGCTCCTGATCGCGCTTGCGCTTCAGCCATCGGGCCTTTTCGCGCAACCTCATGCCATCAAGGCTGGGTGGTATACAGTCGTCAGGCTCCCACGTCGAACCTGCTTCGGCGGCGCCGTTCTCCACTTTCGAAAAATTCACTGCTCCCCACGCTGTGCCGTTCTCATCTTTCCAGCGCACCTGGTAGAAGTCTTGGTAGAAGCCACCGTGCTCGTGGCACCAGGCCTCCCAAGGGGGCATGTAGCCAGTAATATCCGCGATGCGAAACCGGCCCGGCATTACTTCATCCTCGCTCTCCGCCAGAATTTCTGTGTCTTTCACCTCCGGCCGTCGATAACTAAAGGTAGCTCCTTCTGCATCCTCGAACCGCTTACCTGTGACAGAGAGGTTCATCAGCTTCTTTTCAACATAGAGCGCGCCGTTCACCTTCCCGCGCTTCCTGCGCTCCTGCATCAGCAGGCTTCGGCAACGGTCGTCAAACCAAGCGATCCCAGCGCTTTTGGCCTCGAGCTCTTGCAGGACAAGAAGGCCTTCATACCAAGGCAGCATGCGGGTCGAGGGCACCTCGTGGCTGCTGCCATCCTCGCGGGTGACCATGGCAATGGAGCCCTTCTGGTCCACCAAGGTAGCCTTGGACAATTTGTTCAGGCGCGCCCCGATCTTTCCGTCCAAAAAGCATTCTTTCGCCATCGCCTCATCGTTCTCAGGTGGATCCTGTGGGTGGTGGAAGACGGCGTTGGCATCCACCGGATCCCAAATCCAGACTGATTGAAGAGAGGCTTTCATCTACGTGGCGATAGATTTGGCAGACTCGCCGCGCTTCCCAGTGGAGAAGGTTTCCGGCTGTTGTTGTTTCTGAGGTCGTCTCTTCGTTTTAACGGCAGGCCGGTATGGCTCCGAGAGCGAAGCAAAGGGATGCGGTGCGGGTTGCAGACTGGCCGGGAGTGTGTTAGGGCTGTTAGCGTTTCAAATACGAACATCTTGGTTGCACCTGAAAATCATACATGCAAGTTCTTACAACCTTGAGCCAACATGAGCAAACACACACGACAAATAAATCTTTCTGTTCCCTAAGCTTCTGACTCCTAAACCGCCACCGATACCATTGTGATCTTTTTTGCTAGTACTGTTACTGACATTGCTTCTGCTCCGGTTATGACGACTGCAGTTACCCAGGAATCGAAGCCACCCATCCAGCGAGCTTCGACAAGGGGCCGTCTGTGCCAGGACGTGGGTCTCTTTCAGTAGCTCCCGGAGGTTCTCGGCGTCCTCCGCAGGGTTTTTTGGGTTTTTTTTGTGGTTTTGGACTCTCGCATGTCGGACTGCGCGCGGGCGAGGATGATCCGGTTCGACAAAAAAAGCGCTTCGGGATTGACTCCCAAAGCACTAGGGTTTGGGGTTTAGGGTGTAGGGGACCCCGGTGCCGCCTATACTATATTCAAGGATCTCTATCACAGAGAGCCCCTAACACCACCAGTTTCTCAGAACTCATCACCTGCCTCACATCCCAAGCGCGGCGCTCGATCCCAGAAGGGGAAGGAGCCACGGTTTAGAGGTCAGGGTTGCCCTAAACCCTAAACCCCAAACCCCTAGTCCCTAAACCCCAAGCCCTAGTTTACGGTTTAGGGTTGCGTGCACCTTTATGAACCTGAGGTCAAAAGTTCAACTTGTCTTCGCAGTCACGAACGGAAACCCGAAACCCTCCACTCTAAATCCATCAAGCCATGATGGAGCCCTTAAAGCAACTACTCGCCGAACCCTTTTTGCAGCACTTAGTCGCAGAATCCTTGCAGAATCCTCCCAGAGCCGTTATAGAACTAGCAAGAAGAACCCTAAACCTGTGCCGCCCTTTCCGCCTTCGTGGCCCGCTGCCCCAGCTCCGCCACCTGCCCGATGGCCCAGCTGCTGCGCAGAATCGGATGTGGGGTTCCCGCAACCCACTTCGCAAGGATTCGGCCGTCATAGCAGGGTGGTCTTGAGCGTGGAGTTTGAGGGCTTCGGGTTTAGAACGACGGGAAATTTGGGGTTCAGGGAAGCTTCGGGGTTTGAGATATAGCATTTAGGCCATCTAGGGAATCTTGTGTTTCATTGCAACATAAATAAATGGGGAGGGGAGCTTTATGAACATCAGTGTGCCTGACTTACAGGTCCTTGTCAGAAGGATCCAACGAAACTCCCAAAGGCTGAATGACATCTGGGCGAAGTTGGAACCTACCTTTCGGGACTCGAAAGTGCTTTCCACTAGGGCATGTGACGTTCTTTCAGGGATGCTTGTTAGGTTTTGCGATGGAGGATGAGCTCTGACTGAAAAAACTGCACACGCTGTGTACAGTTTGAATCCACCAGCAGTTCCCATTCTGCGACCCCGACAACAAACTCTATATCTACATATATATATATATATTATATATATATATGTAGAGGCCTGACGGCGCTCCGTAGACGTCAGCCAAAAGAAACCTCAGTTTCAGGGTCCGTATGGTCCGTGGCTCAGGGCATTTCGACTTTCGGGCTGAGGGCCATTTCCGTCTTGGAGGAATGCCTACGAAAATGGCCGTTGGGCTCAGGGCGTTTGAGGTTGGGGGAATAGGAATAGGGGCTCCGGGATTTAGGGTGGTTTGGGACTCACAGCCCAACGCGTCCACAGCAAAGGGCACAGGTGCGCCGGAGGTCACCTAGTCGGAGTTCTTCGGGCATTCGGCCGGCAAATGCCAAGACTAATTGGTATGACAACCAAACAAGCAAAAACCAGGGTTTAGACCCCAAGAGCCTGTGTTGCCAAGTGCACTGCGTGATTCGTCACGCATTTGTAACTGCGGGCACTTCCCATGAAGCCAGTGTGTGTTTTTCAAACCTCCGAAGAAGAACTTCTTGTAGCTGGCAGGTATGACAGCATCGGAAAGTGGCCAGAGAAATAACAATAAAGCAACAGCCATAACAATAGCTCAATGGCAACAACAATAACAAAGATAGAACCACTTGTAATTAACATAACGAAAGAGTATAGTCTAGTGATACCAACAACAAACACGCTCTCTGAAACAGTGCATGCCCGGGCACGGTCAAGATGGCCTTCTGCATCCTGAGACGTTTGGGTTGAGAGACAAAACAATGTCGAGAATCCAGCTTCTCATTGATGCTCCCGTCATGTAAGGTGTTCCAGTTCTGGGGAGGAGTCCTTTCGAGCGTCCTAGCAGTGCACTCTACACCATGAAAGCTACTGCTACTAGCTAGCAACTATCGAGATGCCAGAGCGAGTTTTACTGCAGGAGTTGTGATGACAGCACCTGGCAACATGTTTCTTTATCATGCCATCAGGCACGGCTGCGCTTGCCTGTGCATCGTGCGCACATGCGTGCGTTCAGTTACTCACGGATTCAAGCAGTAGGCTCCTAGGGGTTTGAATCAGAAAAAAATGCAACAACCATAAAAAGAGGGGCCAGACAACGAGCACAACAGCAGCAGCAAGAGCAGCAGCATCAGCAGCAGCAGCGGGAGCAGCAGCAGCAGCAGCAGCAGCGGCGACGGCATCAGCGGCGGCGGCACAAGCAGCAGCAACGGTAGTCGCAACCATGCCATGAGCTGGAAAAGGACGAGCGTTTCTACACATGAACACAAGGCAGGGATGACGTTTGACGCTGATTCTTAGGTCAGCAATGGCGTGGCAGCAAAAGTGACATCGAATGGTCTTACTGCTGGCAGCCGTGACTCAGAAGCAACACAACTACTAACACTGTACTGGCAACAAACACATGAAATCATGTGCATCGCAATCATAGGCATAATGCTGCCAACACCCTTCCACTAAACAGCGGCAACCTCGAATGGCCCTGAGAACGAAAAGTACCGAGACTCCTCCGGCGGCGTGAGGACCTCCTGGAGCATGGTCGTGCGTTAGGATCCGAAGGCCCACATCTTTTTAGGGGGAGTTTAGGGGGTTTTAGGTTCCCCCTTAGGGTTTAGGATTTAGGAGTTTAGGGGTTTTAGGCTTCAGGGTTTTTGGAGTCGTGGGATGGTCGAGGCCTGAGGGTTTTGGGGCTTCTTGGGACTCGGCCCTGCAACCCGGAAGCTCTCGGTTTCGGCTCGGGCTCCTTAAAAAATTTCGGCTCGGCTCCTTAAAGGTTTCGGGATTTCGGGCCTTTCGAAGGGTGCAAAGCCCTGCCAGACCTGAGAGCTGCAGCTCCGAAACGTAGAAAGCTGGTGCTTCAAGTCCCGAGCCTGTCCCAAACCAGCAGGGTTTGGCGACTTCAACTCCGAAACCCAGCTAAGCCCTGAAGGACTCGACTTCTTCTTGCCCTGAGAGCTCAGCCACCCCAGCTGAGCCCAAGGCTGTGGGAGCATCGCGGGCCACTTGGAGGAGGTGCTGCATGGCTTCGGTTGCTGCCTGAGGCGGAAGTGCAAGCACAACAAGACCTAGCCAACTTCCATATGCTAATAAAGGAACAGGACTGCTGGATTACACTACAGCTGCTACCCTGCCTAACCATGCCAAGCCTTTTCGGCAAAATCTCGGAAATCCTCACCGCCGCTAGCACTGGGGAAAGAGAACAAAGACAAAAATCCTCCAACCCAGAACACCGCAGTCTCTAAACAGCTTGCAAGCTCTCTTTACTTCAAGGATGGCAAGAAAAGCCACTTTGAAACACTACCAAGCTGGACGAGTCAATGCAATAGTTGTCGGTGGTCAGTAGGTTGCGATTGACGCAGGACTACTGGGGTAGGGCTTGAGGGGCTTAAGGCTCCGGGGCCTTCTGGCTCAAGGCTCTCAGCCGAGATCGAAGGTTCCAGGGTTTAGGGTTTAGGCTAGTAACCCTATGGAGGGCCTGAGGGTTTAGGGTTTAGGGGAAGCCCTTAAAGCCTGGAACCCTAAACCCTAAACCCCTAAACCCCTAACCCCTAGACCCCCAAACCAAAAAACCCCTAAGCCCCTAAACCCCTAAACCCTAAACCCTAAACCCTAAACCCTTCTATATCACACCTCAAGCCTGGAGCCCCGCAGGAAGGAAGGGCCCTGAAGTGCCTCGTCCAGACTTCCGAGATCCCGTCGCACGGCCTTGAAGCGGCTATCGAAACTTAGGGTTTCTTCTTACAATTTTGGATTGGTTTATAGGGTTTTGGAGAGTTTTATAGGGTTTTGCAGGGTTCTAGAATGGTTTCTTGTGGCTTACAAGATTTGGTGGACTGAGGGCTGCATATGAAAGTTTCATAGTTTTCACTTATTCCTGATTTGCGGTCCTTCTATTCAGAATTCTTCTGCGTAAGGTCTATGTTGTGGCGCTAGGGTCCGGCTTTTCCGGAACTCGCAGGCACAGAAGGACAGTAGACTGCTGGCTGGCTGTCAGAGGGGTGGTGCGCAGGGCTTAAGACTGACACATGAGTGGTTTTAGGGCTTAGGCCCAAGGCTGTTTAAGCTTGAGGGTTGATGGTGCGGGGTGGTCAGTTGCAAATCCTCAACTCTAGATGCAAGAGTAGAACATGTCATCGGGACAAGCGTGGAAACAGGAGCGTTGTGGAAAAGTTTTAGAGAAGCCTTCTGGAACCCCTTGCAGTCCCCTGAACAAAACCCTCCCAGAATCCCTTGTAGTGCCCCTTATCGTATGTACCCGTGGAGAAACCATGGTAGCCTTTAGTTGCTACTCCGGGGTGACTGAGGTGAAACTCGCCAAAGATATGGCTATCTCAGGGCTTGCAGCTTGGGGGTTTAAAGCCTATACAGTATATAAGACACCCATGGTGTAAGATGATATGGTATTGAGAACTCGCAGCTCAAGCTGCTGACTTGGGAA